CCCCATTTTCTGGGCATCGCTCAGGAAGACACTCGAAAGCCAGCGCTTGGGGAGCCGGTTCAGTGCGTGTACGCGTGTGCGAGTGCGTTCTCCTCTCACATGCGCTGCCTCGTGTGCTCCTTACGCTTCCCGGCCTTCTGATAGTGCTGGGCTCTCTGCGTCGACAGTGTGTTTAACGGGACTTGCCGACAGACAGCGTGACGCTGTTGTTGCTCCTGGCAGCCCCCTCGCCTGTCAACCGTGCCTGCTGTGTGAAACCAACCACATGTTTTCGCTCTGCCTCCTCTTTTTCCAGAGTTTTCTGCTGAACTCAGCGCAGCGACGTGGCTCGACGTGCCGAGGCTTGGCGAAAAGGGCTCAGGACCTTTCTGGGACTGACAGGTTGGTGCCGGGTATGGATTTATAATTATGGGATAACAGTGAGACCCTTATGTGAACTTTTGAGCCCCCTCGGCCCTCCGCCCACTGCCGGTGGTGGACGAGGCCTGGGAGCTACCGGACCCCAGCCCCAACATGCGCAGCCTCAGGATTGCTAGCTTTGAATTAAGTGATTGCAAGAGATCTGATAATTTATAGTATTTCTTCTGCTCGTTCAGTCACAGTTTATTCTAAGGAATTTGCTGGCTTAATTTTTTTTTTTTTGCTTGTTGATGTTGCGTTTTTCAAGTAACTACTAAAAGCGCTTTGTCATGTTTTGAGTTACCTGAAGTGTGTTGGAAGGGGCCAGCACTTTAACTGCGACTCTCAATTTTCTTCACAGACTACCGAAGCAAGTAGCTGCAATATTTTATTTCCGTGTCTTTCAGCTCTGCTGGAGCGTGCATATATGAACGAGCAGGTGGAATGTGTTCCATTCATCTGAGCGAGCCGCTCCTGAAGTTAAGACCAAGAAAGGATCTTGCTGAGGTATCTGAAGGTTGCTCGTGAATTTGCACACAAAGCGTATTGTGCCTTGTCCCCACTTCATATGCACATTTTATGTTTCACAGTGGGATTCTTACATACAGTGACTTACAGATCAGAGAATAGGGGTGGCTTTTTTTTTACCTTTTTGTTGCTTGTGTTGCAACATCGTGATAACCTTTCAGTTTTATGTTTCTAAATGGGGAGTGCTGAGTAGGAGTCTAAACTCACTTGTTTATTTTACTGACTTTTAAAGGAAAAAAAACAACTCTTTTTTACTCCTAAGCTATCCTCTAATATTAAAACCAAACACAGATTGTAAGCGCAATCAGAAAGTGGCTGTGGTTTCACCTGCTAGGTCAAAAGGCCAACAGCAGAAAACAAGGATCTAGGATATGGCTGTAAACATCGCTTGTGTGGCGTCTTGTCCCTCTGTCAGGGCTGCTTGTTTGAGTTGGCTCAACGTTCAGATTTGCTGAATGAAGAGAAATGGTGCAGGGCGTCGCCCCTATCACAAGCGTCTCCTTCTTTGGTTGTAGAGGGGATCTTCTCTTTAAAGATCTGACTTGATTTTGAGGATGATTTCTCCTTTTTGGAATGTTGCTTGTTACAGTAATGTTCTCCAGCATGTTCTGGTGGTATGGGAATAGAGGGAATTTGGCTTGATAGACAGAATAAGTATTATGCTTTTGTGACCCAGAGTGAACATGTGAATGCATGAAAATAAGGTCAGTACCAAGATAAATGGAAAGCAGGAAAATATTTCCAGCATAATTTTGAAACTATACGTAATGCTTTTCAGTAAATAGCTAATGATTTGCATCGTTTCAGACACTGTTTCATGAAATGATCCATGCCCTGCTCTTTGTTACTAATAATGCAAGGTTCATGAGTATCGTGGACCAGAGTTCTGCAAACACATGCGTGTCGCGTTCATCGCTTGACTGGAGCCAATGTCACAGTAATCCACTTAACCTAATGTAATAAAGATTTTTTTTTCCTGATGTGGTTTTTCAGTATGCCTGGTGGGATAAAGAGCAATATACTTGTTCTTGTTAGGCACTGGTGGCACTGATACAAATTTGCATCCACATGTGTGCCAGTTCCACAGTTACTTTGTTGGGGATGAGGGTGGGAACAGGTTGAGGCAGAGGTGGTGGGTTATTAGTTGTCTAATTTTTTGAGTATACTTGTTGTGGCATGATAGCTAATGATTTGCATCGTTTCAGGCACTGTTGCATGAAATGATCCATGCCCTGCTGTTTGTTACTAATAACGAAAAGTTCATGAATATCATGGACCAGAGTTCCGCAAACACATGCGTCGCGTTACTCGCTGGACTGGAGCCAATGTCACAGTAAGCGTAATCCACTTCACCTAAAGTAATAAAGATTTTTTTTCCTGATGAGGTTTTTCCGTATGCCTGGTGGGATAAGGAGCAATATATTTGTTCTTGTTAGGCACTGGTGGCACTGATACAAATTTGCATCCACGTGTGTGCCAGTTCCACAGTGACTTTGTTGGGGATGAGGGTGGGAACAGGTTGAGGCAGAGGTGATGCGTTATCAGTCGTCTCATTTTTCGAGTATACTCTCTGCAAGTATTTTCCTATGAGCTTTTGTTTTAAACTTCAAACAACTTAAGTGATGCCAGGGACAGAATAGGTCCACGGTCAGAATGATATCTGGGTAAGAGCAGTCTGCTTTAGTTAAGATTTGTATCAGTAGAGGCTAATGAGTTGAAGATATTTAAAAACCATGTGTCTGATAAGGTAAATTAACATTCCAGCTGGAGAGAGAGCACAAAATGGTGTTGTTTGCAGTGCATGCTAAACAGTGTGTCATTTAGGCTGAAACTGCAGACAGGCTTTTAAAGTGGTTTTATTGCCATTCAAACAAGATAGCCAGGACATATTCCTATAGATCCTGTCTTCTTTTTTTTTTGAAGCTTTGTTTTAATAGCATCTAAATGTTGATCAAATTTCACCCAGGTTCAGTCCTTTTAGCTGGTAATGTATTGCCTGCTTTTTTTTTTTTTTTTTCGGAAACTTAGATCCATCATAGTTTTCGTGATGAGGTGGATTTGTACGGCCAGCACTGGTGGCGATGCAATGGCCCCTGTCAGAATAGCAAACCTGACTTTGGATATATGAAACACTCAATGAATAGAGCACCCTCTGCACGAGAGCATTGGTGGGTTGAGCATCAAGAGACATGTGGAGGTACCTTCACAAAAGTGAAGGAGCCGGAGAACTTCTCCAGGAAACTCCGGGGAAAACCCAGCCAGCAAAACTTCCAAATTCCAACTCAGCTAACAAAGGTGTTTAAAATCATTCTGTTTTTTCTTTGCCAGACTCTTTTTGTCCAAACAGGCCCTTGACCAAATACGGATCAACCGCTACATGAGCTTTGTTTAGATATTACTGCAAACATTAAGTAATTATAGTATTACTGCTATTAATTAATCACAATATTACTGCTATTGCTGTAAGAAACTGCCCATTTTATTTGTGCATTTTTAGGTGGCTCCTCAGCTTATTTGTTTGCAAAAGGTTTAGTTTGCTATGCTGTTTTCAAGCAGCAGTTTTTTCTGGGCGAGGCAGGTAAAGTACTAAGCCCATGATTTCTATATGAAAAAGTTACTAATTTTTCTTACTTTCGTCTCTTCTTGTTTTGCAGGGAAGACACAAACGCATGATGTGCAAGATCTAATGCCATGCAGGGGAAAAGGATAGCGGCTTGGAGGAGGAGACAGTGGACTCTCAGGAAAAAGCACAGATGCCAGCAGCCTTGTTAGAAACAGTGAAGCGCCTGGTTCACAGCATCGTTCAGCAGTCACCCCAAAATGGCATCTTCTTTCCACTTTATGCTGATGATGCCAGTGAGAAAATCAACTTAGCTTCAAAGTGTGAGTTTCCTGAACCCTCTGTTGCTGATACAAAAGCTTACAAGCGTGTTAGTGAGCTGCCTGTCAAAATTGCTTCCAGTGAGAAAATCAACTTAGCTTCAAAGTGTGAGTTTCCTGAACCCTCTGTTGCTGATACAAAAGCTTACAAGCGTGTTAGTGAGCTGCCTGTCAAAATTGCTTGCGGTGTGGGAGAAAAATCAAACCAAGGCTCTGCAAATGGCAAGAGGGCTGTGCCATTTTATGGCAGGCCATCGAAACAGTTTTGTTTTGAGCAGACAACAGCAGCTCAGGTTACATCTGAGAAAAATGTTAAAGATTTTATTCTCACACGAGTGGGTTACACTAGGTATTGCTTTATTCACAACTCAGAGTTCGTCCGTCACCTCAGTGAGTGGCCAAGCTGAACTCGCTAGACCAGTTGATATACATTTATTAAACCGATTACATCAAGTCTAGAATCTTCATAAGTTTCTAAGCAACCGTTCCATTCCTTTAAGTACATCATTTATTAATTTCTTTCTATTCTTCTGTCTTTGTAGAATTCTCCCTCGCTGGTTTCAGTGTTGTCTCAGAGTTGTCGTCTGTCCTTCATCTTCTTTTGTGAATTCTGTTTGGTACAATCGGTACGGTTGGTTTCTATCCCAATTGCAACATACCGATTGTGTGGTTTCTTAACACAGCTGTGTTTACACAACTGAATCTGTGTTCTAGTTCTATAATTTTATTCTGTTCTGTAATCAATCTTCTTTATAATCATTCTCTAACATTCCCTCCTTTTGTTTTTATTGCATCCCTGCTATTACGTTAGTATACATTGAAAAATCACAAACAGACAAACAACTATTGTTACAACAAAGAATAAGATCACTAAAGCTTTCTTTAGCCAAGTAGCTAGGTTCGGGAACCAAGAGGTTAACCAAGAAACAGCATCAGTGAATCCCCACGAGGTGTCGTCTTTTTGCACTTGTTGCATCTGTTTACCAATTTCCCAAATTTTCTGCACATCAGTAATTAGCTCTCCACTATGATCGGTGTACATACAACAACTTACACTTAAAATGGTGCAGACCCCTCCTTGGGAAGCTAATATCAGATCCAATGCCATCCTATTTTGTATTGTAATTTTTGAGAATTCAGAAACTACTTTTTGCAAAGTGAGCAGTCCATGTGCTGTGGAATTTGCTAGTTTTTCAGTCTCTCCAGAAATGTTAAGAATTGCTTTTTCCAATTCACTTACCTCTAAAGAAGGGATAAACCAACGGAGCAAAGAGTGAAATCCTGTAGGTCTTTCTATCAGGGGATTAAGATTTCTTCTCCAACGATTAATATAGGTCATGTGCCAAGTGTCTTTGGGTAAAACTTTAGGATGTATTTGCAAATCTGAAGTGAGAACTCCAAGAGCACAAATTCCTCCCCAAGCTAGAGGTAAAGCTTTATATGCTTTTGTTCCACAAAGCCAAAAGATACCTAAATCTGGAGGGGCTTGCCAGCTTAACCGCAACCCAGAACTTATTGTGGTTGTGGTTTGGCAGTTTGTCCAAGTTCCCACAAAAGTGTGATTTCGGCATAGGAATCAATTAGAACACGTAGAAGGATAACATCTTTGAACACAATGGACTTGGGAATAGTTCCCTTGCTTGGGTAACTGAATATCCCAGATTTGCTCTTTGTAGGTGTCAGTGAATGTAGTATTATACCAATATCGATTCCAATTTACTGCTTTAGGTACAGGAATACCTATTAGCTGGAATCCCTGATCAACAGTTTTTGGCAACGAGACGCAGATCCAGCATTTGGTTAGATTTAGATTCTTAATAAAGGAATTCAGGAGTGACACATACATGTTATTATGCCATTTATTTTCAATCTGTTCTCTGTGGTTTATTTCCTCCAGACCCTTTAGGCGTCTGCTTAACCATTGAGGGGTTTGCATGCTTTGATATACAGTAGGTTGATTAATCCTAAAGACAGACATCAAATTCAAAAGGTTAGTACATGTATAGCCATAAATCACAATCCTAAATTCACCATAAAAACGATTGCCTGATAAATCATATCTATGACAGCACCAATCTCCACGGCCATAAATTCCCCACATGATGATTGTAGCACCATGTTCCTCTTTCCCAGAGGGGGTCTTGTAACTGAATATGATATGCAAATACAGAGAATTTGCCACTATCCCCGTCCTGGTACACATGCAACCGTTTAGAGCTACTGTAGCTGGAGGTCCAAGTATCCCATCGATTGTCAAGCAGAGTTCGTACGTTGACACAGAATTGCAGAGAATCTCCATATAGATTGATAGCGTCTCTCGTCTCAATCTTCGGACAGTCAGAGGTAAGAATGAACCGCCCAGAGTCTGTCTTCATTCCTGCAGCTTGGCCCTTAAGTTCGCAAGACAAATTGCTATACATAAGATTAGCGATATTGGTACCGGCATCTTGATAGCGTGTTGTTGATCTTACCCAGAATCCGTGGAGACTGCTAACAGGTATTTTACATAGAAAAATTAGCAACACATATACCCAATTCATTGCTCTTCAGTATCATTCCGGACGTGAGAATAATGGACCCAGGTCTCTTTCCCAGCAACCTTAACTGCATAAAAAGAGGTTAGTAGTACAGTGTATGGTCCTTCCCACTTTGGTTCGAATCTATTTTTCCATTTGTAATTTCTCACATAAACTTTATCTCGTGGCTGTATATCATGTAGCTGGACTTCAGGAGATATACCTTGATACCAATAAGCATGATTTCTCATCTGGGACAAAGAATCCTGGAGGTACAAAAGGTATTGAGTGATTTGTTCATCTCCATCCAAAAGGCTAGTTTTTGCTGGAACATAAGTTCCCGGAACAGCAAGAATTCTGCCAAAAAGAATTTCTGCAGGGGACACTCCTACAGGTTGTCCTGGAATGTTTGTAATATCCCATAAAACTAAGTTCAAAGCTTCTGGCTATTTTAATCCAGTTTGTTTACAAACCTTAACTAACTTCTCCTTAATAGTTCTGTTCATCCTTTCTACTTGTCCAGAGGACTGCGGATGATAAGGGGTGTGTAATTTTTGTCTAATTCCTAAAGCATGATATATTTGAACCAAAACAGCTGCCGTAAAGTGTGCTCTCCTATCTGAGTCAATTATTTCTGGAACGTCATATCGTGGAATTAATTATTTGAACAAAATCTTTACTGATTTTGAATCACAGAATCACAGAATGGTAGGGGTTGGAAGGGACCTCTGTGGGTCATCTAGTCCAACCCTCCTGGCAAAGCAGGGTCACCTACAGCAGGCTGCACAGGACCTTGTCCAGGCGGGTCTTGAATATCTTGCGCACTACTGAAAAGAGTTTGGCCCCATCCTCCTGACACCCACCCTGCAGATATTTATAAGCATTTATTAGGTCCCCTCGCAGCCTTCTCTTCTTCAGGCTGAACAAGCCCAGCTCCCTCAGCCTCTCCTCGTAGCAGAGATGCTCCAGTCCCCTCATCATCCTCGTAGCCCTCCGCTGGACTCTCTCCAGTAGCTCATCTTTCTTCAACTGGGGAGCCCAGAACTGGACACAGTACTCCAGATGAGGCCTCACTAGGGCAGTGTAGAGGGGAAGGAGAACCTCCCTCGA